TAGAGATGTATATCCTAGTATCCTAGTGTTGGCTAGCACTGTGGAAGAAAGAGACTTGGGGGTCATCATTGACCACAAGATGAACATGAGCCTGCAGTGCGATGCTGCGGCTAGTAAAGCGACCAAAACGCTGGCTTGCATCCATAGATGCTGCTCAAGCAAATCCCGGGACGTCATTCTCCCCTTGTACTCGGCCTTGGTGAGGCCGCAGCTGGAGCACTGCGTCCAGGTTTGGGCTCCACAATTCAAAAAGGACGTGGAGAAGCTTGAGAGAGTCCAGAGAAGAGCCACGCGCATGATCAGAGGTCAGGGAAGCAGACCCTACGATGAGAGGCTGAGAGCCCTGGGGCTCTTTAGCCTGGAAAAGCGCAGGCTCAAGGGTGATCTGATGGTCACCTATAAGTTTATCAGGGGTGACCACCAGTATCTGGGGGAACGTTTGGTCACCAGAGCGCCCCAAGGGATGACGACTAGGTCGAATGGTCATAAACTACTACAAGACCATTTCAGGCTGGACATAAGGAAGAATTTCTTTACTGTCTGAGCCCCCAAGGTCTGGAACAGCCTGCCACCAGAGGTGGGTCAAGCGCCTTCATTGAACACCTTCAAGAGCAAACTGGATGCTTATTTTGCTGGGATCCTATGACCCCAGCTGACTTCCTGCCCTTTGGGCAGGGGACTGGACTCGATGATCTTCCGAGGTCTCTTCCAGCCCTAATGTCTATGAAATCTATGAAAAAGGGGCAACATTTCCTAGCAAGCTGGTAAGTGGCAGAAAAGTGAATGAATCTCTGATTCAGCCCTGGATAAATAACAACTCTTTTTACAAACTGAAAGAAAACTGAGGCTTTGTACTATTGCTAATAATTGGAGGGATAAGGGACTTCGATGGAAAAAGGAAGACAGTGGCCCAGCCGATTCTTCTGAAATGTTTTGCCATTCTAACTGTCATCAGTTCTGGCTCAGATGGACTAAATCTTATTTAATAATTCTGATGTATCAACACTTACATTTTGGGTGTATCTATGACAAAAGTGGAGTATTGCTGGTGTTGTCTGGTGTCTCATTATCTTTCCAACCTGTCTGATCTAGATATTAAAGAGAAAGACAGCATAGATCCCTGTGGGAGTTAACAGGTGAGGATTTTGAAGGAAAAATAGCTGCATATTAGCACTTTCTGGCACCAGTCAAAGGAATACATGAAACTGTTGTAGTGCTTTGCTGTCTGCTCCAGGCATATCTTATTTTTGTGGCCAGTGGTACATTTTGACTGACAATATTAAAGGCTACAGAAAGATCCAGCGATGTTACACAGATTGCTCATCCATGATTTCTGTCTATTTAGTCATAGACTGCACCTGTAATTATGCTGTCTGAGAATTTCCAGGGATGCATAAAGAGAAATGAGAAACAACTGTCATTAGGTTATTTCTCCATACTTTAGTTAAGAGGAAAGTCCCTGGCAGGTCCTATGTATCATGGCTTAAAGTTTCATGGCAAACTACTTGGGACAAAGACTGGTACCTCATTTTGAAGCTTAGTTGTCACTGTTCTGTCAGGTATTTAGGCATAGGGAAGTGACCAAGTGGTGTATAGTTTAAGATTGGATAGCTCCTGCATTGGGGAGAGTGTTTGGCAGCTTCATTTTTCTGAAGGACTTGATGATTTCTATTAGTAAAAAAAACCCATAACCCTACATTTTCTTCATTTTTTTTTCCAGTTTCCTGTAGTTGGGAATTGGAGTGATCTGTTTTCTGGTGTTAGCATCAGATTTGCCTTAGGCTTTCAGTGCTTTGTGTGTGTTGAGACAAAACAGTGTCTAGGGTGGTCAGTATAATCTGTTTGAGATTCTTGTTCTCTATAGTTATTGTTCCTAATTATTTGTGTGCCAGAGGAAATGAAGCAGCTAACTGTTTTGCATATGATATGTTAAAAGTGTTAAAGTAATTCAAAACTGTTAGGGTTCAATTCAGAAGCCTCAGCCTGTCTTGTGAAAGGCAAGAGTGAAAATACCTGATGGACTGATAGTTCTGGAAAGTCATAGTGTTAAAATTAAACTCTAGCTTCCTGCAATACCATATTTTCTTGCATATAACGCACACCTTTCCCCCAAAAATTCAACTGCTGGAATTTGGGCTGTGTGTTTATAATTAAGGAAATATGGTAGCAGCAGTTTCAGCCACTTCAGCCTCTGCCAGAGGAGTGCAAAAGTAAAGTTACACCTGCTGCAAGCAGAGCTCTCTAACTGCTGTCTATGGACATTATTACTTCCCCACACCCTGAAAGAGGCTCTCAAGGAAGAGGCTCTCAAGGAAAATGCCTGAAAGGCATTTTCTTTATTCTGCCTTTCAAAAGCAAAGTGTATATTTTATTTGGGGGGGGGGGGGGGGTAAAGAAAACGTGGTAATTGAAATGTGTTAGTGTCTTCCTACTGTGCTGAAAATATGTCCCTTTGATTTTTAATCATCCTATCAATTATACCTGTTTCATATGAATGCTTAGTTTAGATCCAAGATTATTTTTTCTAAGTTAAGTATTGGCTTCAAATCTACTGAAGCACAAATTAAATAACAGGACTGCTTAATCTAAATTTAGGCAATTATGTAGTGCCTAAATAAATCAACCCAACATCATTTCAGGATACTTTATCAAGGAGTTGTTGCTTAATACTTTCTAAGTTACTAGCTTATATTTCATTCCAGTCATGCCGAGCACTATAACCTGACTGTTTAAAAAACAAACAAACAAACAAACAAAAAACAATACAGGGCTACTATTTTTGCTACACAGTTCTCTCTTGCCTTCTTTCTCTCCCTCAGCAACATGTTAAACAACCACTAAATCAAATGTATTCATTAATTATCACTGTTCATGATATTCTAATGTATCACTTAGATTTTTTCAGAAGATTAAAAAGAATCACGTGAATTCCAGCTCCCATAGAATGTAGACACGTGAACGAGGGTGACTACTACATGCTAGGGCTGTGCGAAACGGCACCGTTCCATTTCAACTTGCGTTTTGACAGAACAGTATTTCATTTTGAATTCCATTTTGATTTGAAACCGCTGTTCCGTTTTGTTTTGTCAAAACAGTTTTGCTGTTTCGACACTGTTTCAACGTTGCACCCATAAGCTATAATAGGGAAGCTTGAAACAGCCAATAACTTTGTCATTTCTGGCCTGATATGGATGGAACTTGAAGGAATGGTAGTCCCTTCTGAAGACATGAAGCTTGCCAAGTTTCAGGGAGTTAGGTGCAGGGGTTTCAGGGAAACTGCACCTCAAAGTCTTAAAAGCAAAACTCACGTCATGTGTATGTGTTAAGCCACATTGGGTCAAAACTGCAGGGATGGTAGCCCCTGCTGAGGTCACAAAACCTGCCAAGATTCAAGGAGATAGGTGCAGGGGTTTGGGGGAAACTGCATCTCAAGCTGCAAACAAGCAAAACTAGTAACATGGGTGACACTATGTGTAAGGCACAGCAGGGTGAAAGCTGCAAGCCTGCTAGCCCCTGCTGAGGCCACAAAGCCTGCCAGCTGTCAAGGAGATAGGTACAAGGGGTTCTGGGGCCATGCGTCTCTGGCTGCTGACAGGCAAAACTCGTGACATGGTTGGGTGACACTCTGGGGGGGGGGGGGGTGAGAGAGAGAGAGAAGGTGCACCCTCACTCAACTGACACCAAGGCAGAAAGCAAGGCAGTTCAAACAATGCTGCCTTCTTTCCAGTTTTTCCATCCCTCCCCAGAGCACTGGGATTGCAAGGGACCTCAGGAAAGGATAACAGTCACTGGCCAGCTACACAGTCAATAATGAGAGCACTCCTTCCCCATCCCTCTCCTTACTTTAGTTTCTGTTTCCCTGCAGGCAAGCCTGCTTGAGCTTCGAAACTCAAAACATTTTGAAATTTTCAAAACATTTTGACTTGCCTCATTTCATTTCGAGGCTGTTTCGAAGCTCTGTGTTTTGTTTCGATTTTGCTGTTTCGAGCTCGAAATGAGTCGAAACTGTTGAAATTGCCAGCAATTTCGCACAGCCCTACTACATGCAGGCAGGGTATGACAGCATTTTGGCTACTTTTTCAGTAATTACTTATGCAAATGCTCTCATCTCAGAATTGGGGCAGATGGGAGGGGGAGGGTGCAGTGTTGCAGTCCATGCACCACTTTCAGACCATGGCATGGGGGAAGCAGGCCAGGGACACTTTTTTACATTCAGCAGCATGTTTTCCCCCCTTCCCTTCCCACTGCTGTCATTGTCTCCAGCTTCCCAAGGGGGTAGGATGGAGCTCCAGAGCCACTCCTGCCCCCTCCCACTCCTCATGGAGCTAGGTTCAGCCTGGCAGGCAGGCCCCTGCTCCTTGTCTGGTCCCCCAGGTGTTCCCTGCTAGCCTGGGAGCAGGAAGAGAAAAAGGAACCCACCTGCTGCTGCTGCTATCCCTCAGCCTGGCTTCAAGTGCAGCTCAGGTGCAACAGGACAGAAGTGGCTCTGTAGCCCCCGCCCTACCTGGCTTAGCTGCAGAAAGGAACAGTGGCATTTGGCAGAGGAGAGGGAACCTGCTGCTGCACGTGGGGTAAGTGACAGGGGAGGGAAGATACTTTCTTGCTTGAAGGACTTAAAAATCCCTGGCTGGTGCTCCTGCCACGTGGTCTTCCCACCCTGGTGTATGGAGGGAGTCTGGAATCCAGAATGCAGCTCCTGTCATCGCTGCAGCAGAAGTCACGGTTCCTGCACCCTCCTTTCTGAAATCCTGATCCACCCATGCGCATGGGAAATGAATGATAAGTGTGGTAGCTTATCCCTCATTGAAAAAAATAAGGGTAGTACACAGGAGTTTTTATCTCGGGCTATGAAGCTGATGTAAATGATTTTGTTTTGGTGTTTGTATTCAGAGTAGAGTTTTCAGATTAAGGATCTATAAATATAGGAGAGAAAAGATTGTCAGTAGAGAACTAGATGTAAAGAAATATTTACATCTGTAATCTCTACTTATTTGTGAAAGGTTATCTCTTCAATTTTGCCACTGCTGCTACAAAGAAGATATCTGAATCAGTTGCTGAAACAGCACAGACTATAAAGAAGTCTGTGGAAGAAGGGAAAATCGATAGCATCATCGATAAGGTATGCCTTTTCTGTCTTTTGTGAAATCAGTCTGTAATATACCTACTTGTACCTCTGCTGCTGCTGTATGTCAGCATCTGTAGAAGAATCTGAGTCTGTAAAATTATATTTAAAAAACGTTTTTTAAAATATCTTGTTTCTTAAATAGTTGAATGAATGAATGAATGAATAAATAAAACTTTAATTATCTGACTAAAGTTTTCAGACAGAGTACATATTTTCAAGTGAAAATGTTAACAAAATCCCTTACATAAAAATGTAATCACTTGAGAGCAACCTTAGCTGTTAGCCAACAAACAATAAACATTTCTAGTAAAACAAACTAATTATTAAAAACATGAAGAACACGGTTTTTTGGCTGGGAGGTGGGTCGCACAAAAAAGCTACATCAAAGATTTACTAGATCAGTGGGTTCAGAATTCCTAAATACATGGAACCCTTTCATACGCCTCCTGCTGCAAACCCCCTACCCTAAAGACTGACATGGAGCCTGGTGACCCAGCCCAGCTTTGGCAGTGAACCGCCCTCACAGCCCACTCCCATAACCTCCAGTCTTTTTGTGGAGCCTCGATGACCTACTGCAGAACCACAGGGTTCTGTGGAATACAGTTTGAAAAGCACGGTACTAGATGGTGCTCATTTAATAAGCAACAGCTCAATATTTTTCTTCTCCTCGTTGTTCAGGGCATGGGCCTTGGCCTTATTTGCCACACAGTATTCATACCTGTCTCTAAAGACAAAATTGTCCTATGCGCTTTTTTGTAGCACACCCTGATGGTAGCCCATTAAGATGGAACTTCCTTTTTCACAGGGTTGCTGGCCTGGTAGATAGGAGAAAGCAGTAGTGATGATATAGCTTCACCTTAGTAAGGTTTATGACACAGTCATATATGACATGCGTATGAGCAAACACAGAAAATAGGGTCCAAATAAAATTGCTGTAAGCTGGATGCGCAACTGATTGATTCTCAAGAGGCTTCTGGGGGGTTTTCCTTGTTTGTTTCCAAACAATGCTTTGATTTCAGATGGGCAGGACTTATGCAACGGGGTCTCTTGAAGATCTGTTCTGGTGTGGTATCATTCACTATTTATATTCATTTATTGGCTTTGACCACATAAAGAATGTACTTAAAATCTGAAGATAATTCCAAGATGGAAGGACATGTAAGCATTATGGACAGGATTAGAACTCAAGAATATCTTTTAAATTTGAGAAATGATCTAAAATTAGTGAAATGAGATTTAATAAAGATAGCTGTAAAACGCTGTATTTAAGGAAGAATTGTATGCAAAACGTAGAATGGCTGACTAGGTGGTGCTACTGTACGAAAAGATATAGGGAACATAGTGGACCACAAATTGCATGAGTCAGTGATGTGATGCTCTTGTAAAAAGTACTAATATCTTTCCTGTCTGTTCAGTACTGTTGAAGGTTTGCCTGGAGTGCTATGTTCTGCTTTGACTACCATATGCTGACAGGTGGAGCAAAGGTGGCTTATGGGTAACAGTACAAAGCAAATTAATACCCTGTGGGCATGTCTACACATGGATTTAATGCAATTCAATATACTCTGGTTCAGTTTGAGCCAGAATAAACTAATGCCAGCGTCACCATCTACACGTGTGTTTAAGTGCAGTAAATTAGCCTGCTGCACCCTAATTGCCATGCACATGTACACAGTGATGCTTTGCACAGCAGGCTAATTTGCTGCGCAGTAATAAAGCATCTCGAGTAGACGCACACAGTGAGTGACATCACGCTTTGCTCTCCTTGTCAGTGTCCATTCTAACTTTGAATTTCCTGTGGCTGTCAGCAGCATTGGGTCTCAGATCTTGCTCATGGCCCCTCTACAACTGAACCAGCTAACTTCCTCCTGCTCCAAGCTGCCAGTTCAGGTGTTCAGACCCAGCTAAATTGCAAACGGAATCCTTCTACATTAGGTAGTGTGCTGTACATGTAACACTTTTTCTATTAATGTAGCTTGTCTTTGGGGTATAGAATCATGCTTCCTTTTCCTTATTTCAATATTTTGGTCATTTGTAGTTGAGTAATATATTATAATAGTCTAAATGATAATAATAATATTTTCCATCATATCGTATTGTATTGCTTTTTGTAAGCTTGTCTCTGTTCATAGAGAGCTTTAATAATTTGGGGAATAAATTATTTTTGCGTTAATTGTAGACTGTCAGTGATTTCTCTGAGACTGTCTGCCATTAGAAAAGTATGGTATCACTTGAATGCAAAACATGCTTCTTATTAAATAACAGGCTTGTCCAACATGCGGCCCGCCAAGCCATTTTCTGTGGCCCGCGGTACTGCGATGGGAAACCCCTTGTCCTTCCCCCAGCCCCTCGGCAGCTCCCCCCCCCCAGCCCCTCAGCAGCTTCCTAATGGCTGCTGAAGGGCTGGGGAAGGGACAAGGTTCCCACACACACCGCATCAGCTTGACATTGCTGACGCAGTGCGTGTGGGAAGAGGAGTAGCCATGTGCCACTCGGGACAGGATGAGCCCAGCCGGAGCAGCAGGGGCTCAGCTGCACTTTTCCCCTACCTGCGCTGGTCAGTCCCAAGCAGCACACAGCTCCCCCGCCGCCTCTGCTGGCTGGTGCTGACCTCGGCAGCTCTGTCCCATCTGGAGCAGCATGCGGCTGAAGCCGGGTTCCCACGAGCTGCTGGGGATGAGAGGAGCCCGACCCGGTCTACACTAGCCAGCAGAAGCAGCGACGGAGCTGTGTGCTGCTCGGGACTGACCAGTGCAGGCAGGGGAAAAATGTAGCTGAGCCCCTGCCGCTCCAGCCGGGCTCGTCCCGTCCTGAGCAGCACACAGCTCCGTCGCTGCTTCTGCTGGCTAGTGTAGACCGGGTCGGGCTCCTCTCATCCCCAGCAGCTCGTGGGAACCCGGCTTCAGCCGCATGCTGCTCCAGATGGGACGGACCCAGCTGGGTCAGCACTGGCCAGGAAAAGCAGCATGCAGCTGAAGCTGGCTTCCCACATGCTACTGGGAACAGGAGGAGCCCGGCTGGGGCGGCACCAG